AAATATATATATAAATATATATATAAATATATATTAAAAATTTAGTGACTATTGTAATTTTTTGTTCATTTGTTTCAGACTTTTTTCTCCTGTACAAAAATAGTACTGATTAACTTTTTTAAAAGAAAGATTTTACTGTAAATATGGATTTTTTTTTTGTCTGATTTTTGTCCTTTCCCCCAGTTTGTTATCGTAACCTGTAGTGCCAACTCTGCTACCGGAGGGGCAGTGCAGGATGAAAGGCTGACCCTGTTGTTGCTTCTCATTCATAAATAGTAGAAAGTTGTTTCTCCAGTCTTTTGGGAACACAGGACTTAAAAAAAAAAATCACATCATGTGTAGAAATTACATGCAGCATTGCCCAGGCAAGGCAAAAAGAGTTTGTCTGGCTTGTGCCCTTGCGACCCTCTCCTGGGATTTTCAGAGGTACACGGTTAGAATGCTACAATGTTACCACTGTGCCTTCCAATGTTTATATCATCGGAAACATAACATAATCAAAGTGGCTGTGATTTAACAAAACGATTCAAGTGTTACCTACCTGTGTAGCCGAAGTAGTGTGCAGTGAGGCGTTTCTGAATACATGGTCAGATTTTTGGAAAAAATACAAAAACTTAAAAAAAAAAAAGAGTCAAGTTCAAAAACCGTCAAATGAGAAAATTGCAAGTAGTGTGACCGAGCTGATTGATTTTCTTTTCTTTCTTTTCTTTCTTTTTTTTTCAAAAATGGGTTTACTAAAAAGTAGATGACTTACCTGCCTCCTCCTTTGTGTGAAAAATGCCAACTAATCATGCAGCATTATAACAAGCCTTATAAGTCCTAAAGCATTAAGTTGCACTTTCATGAGGAGGGGTAGAACAGTATTCTCTGGCCAGTATGAATGAAGTTTATACTTAACATTTGATAGAAACATACGTCAAACTATGGCACAGCAACTCATCAGATAGCTAGCGTTGACTCTGGGCACAATTGAACCAATTCCCATCCTAAATCTTCCTAATGGTTGACTTTGGTGTGTAGTGCAGTAAACAAGTAGTGCTCCTACTTAAGCATTTGTCAGCATCCTTTTGTCTCTAACTGGTTTCTATTTTTACAGCCACACAATCTTGGCATGTATTAAGAAAAAAAAAATCCCTGTTGAAGTAGTTTTTCCACCTATCAGCACTGAGTAAATGCCATAAATCCATGGAAATGGTCTAAACGCTTCACCTGTTGTCCTGTTTTACCAGTTACATAGTGATGAAACACATTTGTAAATTTTATGCAACCAATGGCAAACCTATCATTATTTTGAAACTGTGTATGTAAAAGTTATATTTTTACATGTAGACTCTTGTTATTATGTGTTTTAATACATTGTATCAGGTTTTTTTTTCTAAACTGTGTGTTTTTTTTAAAGTCATTTAAATGAATAGTGAGTTACAAGAATCTGAAATATATGTTCATTTCTGAAAATGTAAGAACAAATAAGATAGTTACCACGTGGTCACCTTTTACAAACCCATAAACATTTTGATTAGCTGTGTATGTGTGTGTGTGTGTGTGTGTGTGTGTGTGTGTGTGTGTGTGTGTGTCTGTGTGTTGAAAACTGTAAATATGTTCAGTAGCGATAAAACTAAATGCTCTGATTTGTTGATAAGTTCCTAAAATGTGGAGGTGGATTGAAAACATAGGAGAATAGCAGAAATCAAATTTCATGAAAAGTTCTTTGGGGGCTTTCCTGTGAAATGTGCAAACAAAGGGGCTTAGAGAAGGGCATGGAAGACAATAATGTACACTTCCCCTCCTCCCTAAATGATGGAAACCATGTGTACTTGTTCTCTCACCATGTTAAGGATTTCCTTTTCGTGATACATTCTGCACTCATTTTGTATAGTCTACCAAGGCGGGTATCCCTAGGAACATTATTATTATATAGGAAGCAGGTATACTCTGATCACATTCAGGATAAGTGTATAGAAGAGAATATGGTGTTTACTCTTTAGGGAACTGGAAATACTCCCTGCATTGATGTACATTTTCAGAATGGCACTTTTGATACATGTTATCGTAAAGGTGCTTACTAAAGTGGAATTAAAGTTTTTCAAATCTGTAAACAAAGGAAATAAAAATGAAACATAGTCATTTGATTTTTTTTCCAATTGGTGCTTTTATATTTTGTTCTCAGTCAAACAGAGGAAAAGCTGCAGTTTCTCGTTCACCACCTTTGATGTATTCATTACTTGGTAATGTAATACAGCTATTGTCAAATTCCTTTTGGAAATAAGCAAAAGACTCCCTAAAGGCCACCAGAAGCTGCTGGCTGCATTCTGCTTGGTGGAGAAACATGATCTGACCCTCTCTGTAGTAAGAGGGTTGTATCTCCAGTTTAAAAGAAAAAAAAAAGGAAGAAGAAGAAAGGGAATGTGGCCTTTTTAATGTGTTTGTTTTTTTCTTGTTGTTATTTTGTAGTTATCAAACCCAGGTAAGATATTGGTATTCCTGCACTGGATTTTTGAAAGAAACTTAGCAGAAGACAGGATTAAAATACTATATGAACATTTCATAAGGGTCCATACTACACTAGATATATATGATGATGGTAAAGCATAGATTTAGGAATCAGTTGAAGAGACTCAGACTTTGAAAGCAACTTGGAGCAGTTGATCCACCTCCACATTCGAGTAATTTATGAATATGCAGAATTAGGGATCTGTCCATCTAGGTAGCTGTGAGGAACACTAATGCTTCTACAACTGTCAGTTCACCTGGTCCTACAACCCATTCTGACTCAGTCTTCCGATTCCTTGTTCCCTTTTGTTTTTCTACTTTTTTTCCTATCTCTTGATTTTTATTATTATTTTATTATTATTATTATTATTTGTGATCTTTGTTTTGATGAGGGGTTGGGAAGTGGGAGGGAGTAGAACTGAGACTTGGGGGGTAAGAGGATTTTTTTTCATCTTTGCATCCAACAGGCAGAATATGATCTGTGTCCAAAATGGAACGTAAGTCAGGAATGAAATGATTCAGCATACACAAGCACAAAAATGTAGTCTGCCAACTGACTGGAAGCAAAAAGGAAATACATTTTAAATAAATAAATAAATGAAAAGGTGAAGATGGAATGTGATGAATTCCAAGACAATGGGGCACCAAGGCCTGTAGGCCTCCTCTTGAGTTTGCTTTGGTTATGTTTGTTTTCTTTCGAGATGTTCTTTAAGATGGGACTTGAAAGTGACTCATCTCTGTGCAGTGCTGGTTTTACCATATGCTCATTTCAAGTATTATAGACATATGTAATGGTGAAATATATGAACTGTGGCCTTTTTCATTCTTGTTACTTGTGATGCAATTAAGTGAAGATAAGAAAAAAAAAAAAAGCAGAGATTTACCATGTATCAGTGCCTGGCTTTTTGTTATAAAGCTTTGTCTGTCTAGTGCTCTTTTTGCTATAAAATAGACTGTAGTACACCCTAGTAGGAAAAAAAACTAAATTTAAAAATAAAAAATATATTTGGCTTATTTTTCGCAGGAGCAATCCTTTTATACCATGAATATTACAAAAAAAATTGTCAGATTCTGAATATTTCTTCTTTGTAGATTTTTGGAATCATTATGAGTAAAAGTTTGTTACTTTATTTTACTATTTATAAGATGTTATTTTGCCATGTGTTACCAAGATGAAACTGTATGGTAGCTTCTTTGGTTGGTTTTTGTTTTCGTTTTTAGTTGTAGGTTGCAGTGCAAACTTTTTTTGTTTTTGTTTTTGTTTTTGTTTTGCGACTGTACACATAGCTGCAGCATTAAAAACTTTAAAAAAATTGTTAAAAAAAAGAAAAAAAAAGGGAAAACATTTCAAAAAAAAGATAAACAGTTACACCTTGTTTTCAATGTGTGGCTGAGTGCCTCGATTTTTCATGTTTTTGGTGTGTTTCTGATTTGTAGAAATGTCCAAACAGGTTGTATGCTGGACTTCCTTCAAGAGGCAAACAACCCAGCTTGGTCTAGACCATTACCTGTTCCCATCTGTAGTTATTCGATGAAGTCATGTACATGACCGTTCTGTAGCAATAAATGTGCCATTTTTATAAACTGTCTCTGACACTCGTTTCATTTCATTCCGCATTGTGCACACAGCCCTGTTCTGTAACACCACAGCTACTGTTCATTTGTTCTGAGTGTTGGCGGTATTGACAGTGAAACAAAACATTCAAAAAGAATCACAAAAACAAATTGAAAAGCAAAGCTCACGGTTCCTCAAGAGGAGATACCCTTAATGAAAATGGAACAGGATGCATGCAAAACACAAAGAAAGCTGACTAGAGGATTAACTAATTGAAGGAATGTGATTAATGCACGAGTTACACTGAAGCACTTGATGAGCCCTGAACTGCACCGGTGTTTTGGGTTGTGCTGTGCAGCAGGTTGCCGACTCTCAGCAACTTTTACCTTCTGGATCAGCTGGTCGGCTCTTTGGCAGAACATTCTCAGCTATACCTTTTCAGTCAAAATAAATAAATAAAAATAAGACTCCAGGACAGTTTTATTTTGTATCACTTGTTAAGAGCTGCCTATTGTTATTTGCGGTTCTATTATACTGTATTGATACTCTCGTAGAATCCCCATCACACCAAATTCTGGTTGACTCTGTTGACTATTATCCCAGATGTAAACAACCAGATGAGTGTCATTTTTTTTTCTAGCTTGTACAAACTGATGTGTGTCACCAATGGGAGGGGAAAAACTGTACAGATTAAAATTATGCAGTGTTATGTACTGTAAGTTAATATTTTTGTAGAATGGACGCCAGCCTACTTTACAGAATTTGAAGGCTGCTTGGCATTGCGCTGTAGAGATGTGATGTGGCCCACAGCAGAGGATCTCTTAATGCAATGTAATGGGTGTGTGGGATCGGGGGATGTCTCCGATATTGCTCTTGTATTCTTTCTTATGGGGTGTAGTAACTAGTTATCCGAAAGAAAATGCTGTAATACCATTTGGTTCACATGTAAAGTGCCCTCCATAGCCAAATGTTGGGAATCCTCCCCCCCCCTTCTTATTGGTTGTATTGTTTGCAGATATTTAAATTTTATGAAATTTCCAAAGATTTTGGTTGATGACCCCTCTAACCTTTTAAATGATTTGAGATGTTCTTATGTTCTTACTGTGTGTTTTAAATATATATAAAAGAGCCTCAAGTATTTAGTCTTTTACTATTATATTTGATCATATAATTTCTATGATACTAAGAAAGAGGAGATGAATCCTGTCGTGTCTCATACATTCTATTAGCACTGAGTTTTACTTGAGTCTAAACAGAACTTAGATTGTCGGGGAAGGCATAATAATATCCACCAAGACGGCCATTACATTAGTAGTGGGAAAGGGAAAGGAAGCCACAGAAGGTATAATCGGGCACCATTTTTAGTCTCACAATTTGATCCACTCATATAAAACCAAGTGAAATTTCTCTTCTGGGCTTTAACTGCCAGCCAACTTTCTCTTGACAATGCCTAGGAAATACCACAAAATCTTGGGGGGGGGCTTGAAAACAGCAGCTAGAGTGCTGCCTGCCTTCAGATCACCCCAGGACCCCTTGCACTGATCACCCCCTGCTCTGCCAGCTAGGTCTCATGTTACATTAAGTATGCTCCTGACTCAGACTAACCATGGGTCCATGTTTTCACTGGCTAACACTGATGCTGTCAAGAAACACAGCCCATGTTGAAAGGACTAGTTGGGCAAGTCAAGCCAAAATCACCTTGGCATTTGTTTGATAAATATGCATCAAGTAAAGTAATTCACAGATCTTGAGAACAGAGGTGTGTAGTGTCACCAGTTACCAGCCTGTGTGTGTCACTGCAGTGCTACGATAGTGGTGGGTACATAGAACCCCTCAGCTAGACTAGCCAGACACCCACTAGCCAGGGATGAGTAATAGTAGGTTAAGATGACTGCATTTGGCCCCCAAACACAGCATATGTTCTGTGACTTCGGCTTTTTCCCCCCTATGGAACAGTGTGTACCTTCAGTCACTATTTCATACTATGCTTGGCTTCTGGATATTTTGATAGTGAGAGAAACCACTGTGTAAGAAGAACATAACCATCACCACATTCCTTTTCTAAGGACCTAATGAATAGCTTTTAAGTCTAGGCAGGGACACTTGTTCCCAGGGTACAGGTTAAGAAAAATCTGCTGTAGAGTAACCAAAACTTAAAAGTCATGGAATCAACCCCAGTTTTCTACCCTGAGCTGGCTGACCCTAACCAGAACTGGATTGCTGTCTGGCTTTTCTGGGGGAAAATAGAAAAAGAAAAAGACCCTTTGTGTAGTGCAGAATGTAATATGGTCCTCACCCACATCTGTTACACTATATTTAGAAGTCAAATAACTTTGGCATTGGCAAGAACCCATATGCTTCTATCAGGAAACAGACACTAGCCAAGAGCAAAGTGCACATGCCCATGCAGAATCAGACCCACCTGCTTGTGGTTTCCCACCAGTGCTCTTTGTGTACACACACACACACACACACACACACACACACACACACACACGCACGCACGC